GTGACACAGAGGGGCCTGTTTATGACTTTGCTCAGTTCAAAATAGTTTTAGTTGGTGAATCATCAGTTTCGACAAAGTGTTTCAGAGGTCTTTGCATTTCCTGCTTTGAAAGCTTCATGTAGGCGTGATGTGACACTTGAATTTGCCCCCCTGTGTTCAGAATAGGCCTTTGATCTCAGGCACTTCCACTTATTTCTTTCACTCTTATAATACTGCTTACTTTGCAATGTTCTGCTGGCAGCATGAGGCACTGCCATATCTCGAGCAAATGAACAAGGCTGCTGTTTCCACCCGAGAGTCATCTGAACACAGCGCACAAAAAGTGAATTTGCTGAAATAGAGGTTATTTTTAAATTTCGCTTCATTTGTTTTTGATTCCTCATATTTTTATGATTATTATCAGTTTTAATATGACATTTTGCTGACCTGCATTATCCGTCTGTCTTGTTTCTTAACCATTTATCCAGGCTAAGGTCATAAGGGGCTACAGCGAGTTTCATGTAAAATGCAGGGTTCACTCTCCCGCTGACCTTCCCCTCTGTGTTATCTCTCCTGCAGTGGCGGACAAAGTTGCCTATCTGATGGGTCTGAACTCTGCTGATTTGCTGAAAGCTCTGTGTTGCCCTCGAGTGAAGGTTGGGAATGAATATGTCACCAAAGGCCAGACTCCACAGCAGGTACATGATGTTTCCACAGCTAAAAACGCCCACTAACCACAGCCCATCTGTAAGCATCCAGTGTTTTTAAACCTACTTTGAATCAGTACAGACAGAAACCTCCTTCAAACTGGAGTTGAACCAGCAACCTAACGATTCCTGTTATTACACACCTACAGTCCGCTGTACAAGCTGAGCTATTAAAGGCAACACAATGTGAAAACGATGTCTGATTTTTCAGGTGAACAATGCTGTGGGCGCCTTATCGAAGGCCGTGTACGAGAAGCTGTTCCTCTGGATGGTCACAAGGATCAACCAGCAGCTCGACACCAAACTTCCCAGACAGCACTTCATTGGCGTCCTGGATATCGCAGGGTTTGAAATTTTCGAGGTGAAGGGGATTCCTGCAGAGATAAAAAAAACATCAAATCCCTTTAAAAAATCTTTCTGATTGTTCGATGGGTGAAACGTTTCTGTTTGACGCAGATAAACAGCCTGGAGCAGCTGTGCATCAACTTTACCAACGAGAAGCTCCAACAGTTTTTCAACCACCACATGTTTGTGCTGGAGCAGGAGGAATACAAAAAGGAAGGGATCGAGTGGGAGTTTATTGACTTTGGCATGGACTTGGCTGCGTGCATTGAGCTCATTGAGAAGGTTTGTTTGCTTTTTTGTTACCTTAAATATTCAAATCAAGAGTAGAAGACAGAAATGAAACACTAATCACCTTTTCCGCCTCTCAGCCGATGGGCATTTTCTCCATTCTGGAAGAGGAGTGTATGTTCCCGAAGGCCACAGACGGGTCTTTCAAAAACAAGCTGTACGACCAGCACTTGGGGAAGAACAGCATCTTTCAGAAGCCCAAACCATCCAAAGGAAAGACAGAGGCCCACTTCTCCCTCATGCACTACGCCGGCACCGTCGACTACAACATCAGCGGCTGGCTGGAAAAAAACAAGGACCCGCTGAACGACACCGTGGTGCAGCTTTACCAGAAAGCTTCCCTCAAGCTGCTCTGCCAGCTCTTTGCCACGTATGCATCAGCTGATGGTATGCCAGCTCTTTAGACAGCAAACACAGATGAGAGATTGAGATTAGATTAAGATTTCACCATTTATCTCATGTGGGGGTTTTTAGCTGCTGCTGATAGGAACAAGAAAAACTACAAGAAAAAGGGGTCGTCCTTCCAGACAGTTTCTGCACTCTTTAGGGTAAGACATCGTTATTATTTACCTGTAAATCTTTTTAAGGTTTTTAAAATAAACTTACATGACACAGTTTTTCTGTATTAAGAACTGGAGCAGTAGTAGTTATAGTTGTAGTTTCTTCTTTGTCCATCAAAGATTGATAAAGAAAATTTGTGAGGAGAGACTACAAACTTGAAAGCTTGTCTGGTCTTCTATACATTCCCTGAATAAATCATTTGTTTTTGTTGTTTTGCATAAATGTATAAAAATGTAACATTTAAGGACACATAGAAGAAGACTCACCAGATAATAGATTTCATCTTTTTTCGTCTGCTCCATTTAGAGGTCACCACAGCAGATCATCTCTGTCCACCTCACCCTATCTTCCTCCTTCACTACATCCATGAATCTTCTCTGTGGTCTTCCTCTTCTGGCAGCTCCATCATCAACATCTCCAACACATCCACTAATCTTCTAATCCTGTCCATCCTGCTCATTCCTAATCAAGATCTGAACATCTTCAGCTCCACCTCCTGTCTTTGTGTC